AGCGCACGGACCTCGTGGTACACGCCGGCGCCGCGGGGGTCGAAGGGCAGCACGCGGACGCTGTCCACGAACTCGCCCCTCGGGTCCACGAAGGTCACCACGAGGCGCTCGGTGGCCGGCGGCACCTCGATGGTGAAGTCGCCCTGGTAGGAGGTGAAGCCGATGGGAGCGCGGCCCAGCAGGATGTTGGCGAAGCGCAGGGGCTCCCCAGAGTCCGCAGCCACCACGCGGCCCCTCACCAGCCCCCGACGGGGCAGGCACTTGCGACAGCCACACTCGGCCACCACCTTCACCGGGAGCACGTAGCCGGAGCAGCGGATTTCCCTGCTCTCCAGGCGCAGCGCTGAACAGCAGCGAGAGCCCGCGTCCCCACAGCGAGGGCTGGAGCCCACGGGGCCCGGGCAGCGCGTGTCCGCGCACAGGCCCACGTCTAGGTAGGCGGGGCTGTCGCTGGACTGGCCACAGTCGTCCGGAAGCTTGATCAAGTGTTCCTGAGGCCGGGGGTCGCAGGCTGGCTGGCCGGGAGCTGGGGATTCCACACAACCAGGTCAGGGGAGGGGGACTGAGGTTGGGGGCGTGGGCTGGGCTCAGGTGGGGCGAGGCCGGGCCGCTCACCGAGCACCGTGAGCTGGGCGGCGCGGGAGCGCACGGCGCCAGCCTCGTTCCAGGCCTTGCAGTGGTACTCCCCCGCCTGGGCCTCGCGAAGCCCCCGGAGCTCCAGATGCGGCCCGGACCCGTGCTGGCGCCGGTCCAGCAGCGTCCCGTTGTGGAACCTGAAGAAGGTGGATGACATTGCAGGGATCTTAGGGATGGTGGCCCGACTACTCGGTTACTAGGGCTAGGGAGTGGCTTCCTGAAGCTCAGCCTTCTCCCTGGGCCTCTCTGCACTCTGAACAAAGGAGAAACTGAGGCGGGCATTCATTCTCTCCTGGGAGGTTTTTGTTTTGTTGAGACACCGCTGTGTACCCCAGGCTGCCTTTGAACTCTTGATCCTCCAGCCTCTACAGGCTGGCCCATCAGGCCTGCTCTGTTTTTCTTCTTCGGAGACATGGTCCCACCACCATGTAGCCCACACTACTTCAAGCTCACCACAATCCTCCTGCCTCAGCGCTGGGATCAGGTGTTCATCACCGTGCCTTAGGCTTTATAAGTACCACAGGGTTACAGAACTCCTGCCAACCCAGCGCCGGCCCAGTCCCCTGAGTTGGTGAAGACACTCACCAGGAGTATTTCTTAGGCATGGGGGTCCCCGAAGCCTTGCAGCAGAAGGTCACCTTCTGACCTGCCTCTCGCACTCGCGACTCAGGGTGCTTTAACAGGTATGGCTTCCCTGAGGGGACAGGAGATGGCCAATTCCGACCCTGCTGTACCCCAGAGACCCCCTTTTCCTCCCATTCTCGCAGGGACAGCCCGCCTCACCCTGGACTGTCCACAAGTGAGTCACGTCTTGTTTTTTCCCCCTTGGCCTGGAACGTCCTCCTCTGTCCCTCACTCCCATGTTCTTGGCTGCAAGGACACTCACCTAACGCTTTAAGGACGATGGTGACCGTGGCTGAGTTGGAGCTGTTGGCGTGGGCCTGGGCTGTCCCCGCAGAGAAGCCGTTCATCTGGGCACTGACGTTGGCCTGGCTGCCAGCGCAGACTCCAGGCACCCGGAAGGTTCCATGGGTGTCACTGATGGCTACTGTGCCAGGTCGGGCTGGAAGGAAGACCCTGGCTCCGGCCAGCTGTTGCCCAGACGGGGTGACCACTGAGCCCGAGAGGATGTGGTCAGGGCACCCGCAGGTGTCAGAGCTACACCCTAGGGGACATGGGGTGCAGAGGGCAAGAGAACTCAGTCATTCTACAAACGTGTAAACCCCGCCCCCATCGACTCCCCTGGGGCTTCGGTGTGGCTGGAGCGAGCCTGGAGACAGGGATGAGTGCGCACAGCTGGACCAGGGGGAGGAAGCTGGGTCCAGAGGCGCAGGGAAGAAACTCCAAGGAAGGGACCCCAAGAGGCGATTCATAAAAGATGGCGAGGACATCCCCGGGAGCACCTAGGCAGGAGCTGGGCGCGAGGGGCTGCCTTGGACAACATCTGTCTCACTTCCAATGCTGCTGCTTCTCCGCGAGATGGAAAATTACAGCGGAAACGAGAGCAGAGGCGCCAGGTGGGGTGGGGTCCCCACCATTGGCCACCTCGTGCCCCCACCCTATGAGGGCCTGGCTGCAGCTGTCCGCAGACCATGTTTGTGGAGCCCAGGCCCGAGTGGAATTTCCAGTCCCTTCTGGCTGGCCTCCTGGCTGGCCCTGGGAGGGCCTGGGCATCGAGTCTGCCAAGGTGTGAGCGCGTGTCTGCGTGGGCGAGCAGGACAGGCGGAGGCTGAATGCTGAATGCGTGCGCTCAGAGTGTGCCGCTGGCTTCAGTCTGCACACGGGGCTATCTGTGTGTACACCGGGGGAAATGACCCCCAAGTCTGCCCAAACCTGCCCGGCATCCACCTACCCCTTTGCATGGTCTCTGCAGCGAGTTCAGGGCCTAGGATTCTACGCCCAGTAAGACCGCGTTCGGTTGTGCGCAGTCACGGCCCAATCCGGCAGAGGAGGAAAGCGGTTGCCAATATTGGGCCCTTCTAGGCCGGCCTGTGTCCCTTTTCAGGCCCTGCCCTTCAGGGCCCCCGCTTCAACTAGTCCAGCCCTCGGGGCTCCTTATGTAGGCCCTGTCCCTCCTACCTGGGCACCGGGACCTCACGCACTTCTGCGCCTCCTGGGGGCTCCCAGGACACGTATCCCCAGACGAGCTTTGACAGCTGCGGCGGCGCAGGCGACGGCCTGGACCGCAGCTCTTGGAGCAGAGACCCCACGCGCCCCATGCGCCCCACGCGGCCTCTGCGGAGCAAGGGGGAAGATGAGGTGGAGCTGCTCACCCCCGCAGTGAGTGAGGCTCACCCCCGCAGTGAGTGAGGCTCACCCCCGCAGTGAGTGAGGCTCACCCCCGCAGTGGGCTCTCTGGACTGTGAGTCCGGTTCCCCCGGCTCCCCGCCAGGTGCGTTCCTGGTTAGCCCTGCTGTTTCCCATCGGTCTTGAACACGATGGGGCTCAAGCCACCCCCCAGCACTGAGCAGTTCAGGATGGGCCTATGGGGTCCTGGCATGCACCACGTGCCACCTGCGCCCAGCTCCTCCCCTCAAACCAATGCCCACACGGCCCCACCTGGGTGGACATCCAGGCCCTGCTGTCACTGGGCCTTACTCCTCAGGGTCACACTTTCTATGTTCCCGCCCGCCCAGGACCACCGGCCGCGCCCTTACCCAGTGGGCAGCGGAAGCGCACATGGTAGTTGGAGCAGCGGCGGCCTCGCGGCTGCTCCCGATTGAGACACCAAAAACCGCGTGCTGGGTTGGCATGTACCCGCTCGCCCACGGAGGCCGGTAGCGCCCAGTCTGTGGTGCGCGCCTCCAGCGCCAGCGGCCGCGGGCACACGCGCGCGGGACCGTAGTAGAAGCGGATGGCGGCCAAGCTCTCGAAGTCGCCATCTCCTCCCGGGTGGTCCACGTTGAACCACGACGTCCACTCGCTGGCCTCTGCGGGCACCGCGTGCTGAGCCTGGGCCCCCACCTCCCTCCAGCCCCTGCAGCTTGGGCCCCTTGGGTCAGGGCTTCCAGGAGCTGCGATGTCCAAGGACTCCTCACTCCCCCCACCCTCCCCCATAACCCCACCAGGCCCAGGTCACACAGGCCGGTTGCAGAGGCGACTCACCCTCCCAGTCCTCCAGGGCTGGCGAGGGCTGGCTGGGGTCTGGCGGCCGTCCTGGAAGACCCTGGGCGGCTGCAGTGCGCTCCTCGGTAGAGGTGGCGTCTGTAGGAGTGCAAGGAGGTGCAAGATGGGGGCTGCTGAGACCCCCTTCTGGTGCGACAAGGGAGTCGTGACCACTGCGCTTCATGGGGTAGGAAACTGAACCCTAGCCCTGGGGACTGCAGCGCCCTCCCCTCGGCTGCTAGTCCCATTACCAGCAGCGGACCCTGAAGCCCTACCCCTCTCCAGCGGTTGGGTGACTATGTCCCACTCTGCCCCTCCAGGCCCAGATGTTCATCAAACACAAGTTTAGTCGCATGCATTCGGCAGTGAGTCTGCCCGCACACCGCTGCGTTCTCTTCCTGAAGTTCCTCCTGTTCTACTCTTCCCGGGCTCTCTAGGTGGGACTCAAGGTACCAACAGAGAAGTACTTGGCTTCTCTGGCCTCCAACTTTCCAAGATGGACTAGGAGGGGTGACGGGTTCAGGCGAACCCCTTCTTCCTGGGAAGTGGGCCTGTCACCAGCCCGCGGGGGGACGGCTCCGACCACTTCGCACAGGTTTCGAAACCTGGCGATTTAGGGTTCAAAGCCTTGGCCTGGTGCTCTATCCCGGGAGAGGATGGAAGAGGTCTCTTTCCGGCGCTTTCTGCGAAGCTCGTGAGATGCCTCCCACCCCGTTTTCTGCGCGCAGGGCGGTCACTCTCGGAGGTCCCGGGGCATCTCACCTCGCGCTCCCGCTAGGTGCGCGACTGCGATGCAGAGACAGAGCAAGGGCAGCGGTGACGCCATCGCCAGGTCGCAGCGGCTCGGCGAAGCGCTCGGATCCGACTGGGGCGGGTCCGGCGGCTACTAGGGACTGGTGGGGGCGGGACGCGGACGAAAGCCACGCCCTGTAAACCGTAGGAGGTTGCTCTTCTTCGCTGCCTCCGCCCTCGGACTGCGGTGTGTCCCGCCTTCCCCCTCCGCCTTCTCCAACCGGGTCCTGCGCCGCGTGGGAGGCGCCATTTGGTCTTAAACTTGAAGTTGCTTCGGCGGCTGGAAGTTCTCTATCGCGTTTAACTTCGGTCTTGAGTTAACTCTAGGCCACTCCCGACAGCCTGGAAGTCCCACCCAGGTCTACCCTCTATTCTAGGAAGCTCTACCGCGCAGCTCCTCTCCTCTCCGAAGGAAGTTCCTTCTCCACCCGCCCACCCTGGGTCTGGCGCACAAAGGAGGCAGAGGAGAAGGTGGTGGTGATGTTTATTGGTGCGGGTCCCAGCGCGCGCCAGTTACAGCGCGGCCACGCAGTCGGTGCCGGTATATTCTGGCAGGCGCAGGCCAAACTTGCGGCGCACGTCCTCAGGCACGAACCTGCCGGCCACAAAGTGGTGGCGCCCGGAGAAGCGGCCGGCGCAGCTCTTGGGCGCAGCGAAGGACACTAGCACGTCGGGCTGCACCGCGTCCTGCGCGTCGCCGCCAGCCTCGGCGTCCCAGCCTGAGGGCGGAAGAGGGGGAGCTGGGAGGACCGCGGCTGCCGGACCGGGTCTGCCCTGTCTCCCTCCAGGTCCGGTGCCTCAACCTCCGACACGTGGGGAGCGGTCAGACCTGCTGACCGCAGAACCGCCTCCGCCCTCGGATTACACGGTTTCCCCCGCCTGTCTGGCAAGACCCAGCCTCTGCCCCACCGGACCGAAGCCGCTTTGCTCAGACCAGACCTTCCTCACTCCCTGTCCCTTCGTCTGACTTCAGCCTCCCTTCTCGGATCAGGTCCCCACCCTGTACTGTGACCTGAGACCTCCTCCCTCAGAACTGTGCCCCCACCTCCCCACCGGATTTATGTCTTTCTCCAGCCCGGGACGTCCCCAAACCATACAGGAGTCTGTCACCTCTGTCAGGGGACAAGCGCTTCTCTCCTTGCCTCAGACACTAACCGGAAGCTGCCTGCTCCTCTCTCTGACAAGAGGCTTCCAACGGCAGGGTCCCTCTCCCCCACCCCCGTGCACCTGCAGCCTACCCCCCTCCCCAGACTAGATATGTCTCTAGATATGATCTAGGATGGCTCTGGGGCCCTCCAGCTGGGGACATTTCCACGCAGCCTCCAAAGAGCTGGGAAGCTGTTTGTCCCTGGCAGGCGTGGTCTCTTGAGGAGTGAGCTCACGTCTGCCCTGTAGCAGGGCCAGCGGTGGGTGGTGCCGGTTTAACTGGGCACTCGGACCGAGAGGACACGGGGTCACTTGGGGCAGCCACTTGTAACTTCCCCATCCTTAGGATGGGCGTGAAACAGGATGAGGGCAGACACGGAAATTAAGGTTGAAAGAGTTGGATGGGGAAAACCTAGGCTAGGGGCGTGTGTGTGTGTGTGTGTGTGTGTGTGTGTGTGCGCGCGCGCGCCTGCGCAAACGGGGGACACTGAGGCTGGAAGAGGTGGATAGGGAAAACAGGCCAGGGTGACCAGGCTGCCCCTGGGTGGCATGCCTGAGGGGACGTCCAGGCTCACGAGCGGGATGGAAAGCCGCTTCAGCGTGGCCAGCGCGCGCGCGCAGGGCCCACCCGCCTCCGCCGGCCGCACTCCGGGGCCTAGCACTGCGTCCACCACCAGCCCGTAGGCGTCATCGATGAGCCGCACCTGTGGGGAGTGGGGAGGTGTCAGGGGCCTGGATGGCAGATGGGCCGTGGCGGGGTCAGAGTGGGTGCAGCTGACCTCGGCCGGCAGGAAAGACAGGAAGGGGATGTCCATCTTCTCGCACTGCGTGGTCAGGTCGCGGTGCAGCGCGTCGGCTGAACGCACCGGGCAGAAGATGCTGGGCTGGTACTCCTGGGGGAACCCGGGTCCGGTGATGGCTGCAGCGGGACCCCAGCCCTGTCCCCAGCGGAACCCCAGCCCCAACTCTGCCCCCCCCCCCCATAGGACCCTGCTACTCACGAACACCCGAAGGTGCCGGGCGCATGCCAGCCCTACAGCGCCGTTCTGTTCCGGACCGCAGACAACCAGCACCGTCCTCTGCTTGCGCGACAGCGAGGGCAAGGGGAACGCCTGCGACAGCACAACAGGGTGGCTCGATGGTGGGGAGGGGACTGAGGCGGAGGGACGGAGCCATGGTCAAGAGGTGGTCTGCGTGCAGGGCAGATTGACTCCGCCAGACTGGGGACCCAGCCTCTGAGCCCAGGCCCAGTGTGGTTTGTTTACTCCATACACACTCTGGACACATCCCCACTCTCCTTGCTTAGCTACCCCCAAGTTACAGTGAAAAGTGGGGTGATCCTGGAGTGAGGTCTGAAACTGGGCAAGCATGGCGCCTAGACCATCTGTCTGTATTTCCTGTTTGCCTTCTATTTCAGAAGCGCGGTCTGCACGGTTTGTTGTGTTATTGTGTGAGAGGTTCTTGCTCAGGGTGGTCTTGAACTTACACCAGTCCTGCTGCCTCAGGTCTCCAACTGTGAAGTTGGCAGTTGTTTGCCTCCACCAGGGCAGCCTGGACTACCAAGGAGGGCCAGTGAGGTGGCTCAGCAGGTAAGGGAGCTTGCCACCAAGCCTAGGGAGGGACCCGAATTTCTTTCCTGAGACCCACACGGTGGAAGAACTTTGGCTCCCCACAAACGCCCTCCGAGCTCCACATGCACACGCTCACATGGGGGCAGGGCAATAAATGTAATTTAAAAAAAAATTTAAAGGAAGGAGAGGCGGACACAGGCAGAGAGGGGACATACTCTTCCTTGGGTGTCTGCATTTATAACTGAATTGCTCCTGTTCATGGAGGACCCCAAGGCCAGGCTCAGTGGCCTCACAGCTAGCACCTCTGGCATCAATACTCTCCCGTCATACTGGGGGCACCTCTGGGTAAAGGTTTAGCTGAGCAGGATACATCTAGTTTGAGTCCTGCTTCAGACCTCATTTGACCATGCTGCTCATCTCCGGACCTGCTTCCTCGTGGGAGCATTTAGGGGTATTCAGATGGCTGTCAGGTAGGTCATACTTCTAGGGGACCCAGGCCTGCGCTTTGAGGGCCCAAGCCCCACCCTGTAGATGTTCCCCCATCTGAGTCTCTGGGGACCCCACTTCTGCCTTCTCTGGCAGCGAGCCTGAAAATGAAGCCTTGTACTTCAGTTTCCCCACCCCAGCGATGAGGTGAAGTAGCCCCAAGCCAAGGGAGCTGGTACCTTGGTCACAGCCACGGCACTGGCGTGCCCGCATAGTTCCACCAGCTGCAGCCGCCCAAAGCGGTACTCGTCCAGCAGCTCGCGCTCCAGGGCGGCCGCCTCCGAGGTGCTGCGGGCAGAGTCGGGCAACAGGCTCAGGAGCTGCCCAGACCTGGCTGAAGGCTCTGGCCCGTCCTGACCCACGAGGAGCCTCAGTGGCAGGTCCATTATCTCTTGCCCACTTTCCCATCCCACAAGCATGGTTTGAAATGGCAGCCTCAGCCAGAGGCGCGCACTCTGGTGGTGAAAGACACACATGTCGCTCATCGGAGGTGTCGTGTCCGCCCGTCTCCCCACCCCCACCCCCCACCCCGCCCCAAAGCTGAGCGACCCAGAATCAGAAGGAAAGATTCTGAATGCAGACTGATCCCCTACACTGCATATCCCAGGGTGTCATCGAACCAATTCTCCTCCTTCAGATTTATAACTGGAGTGCCCACACACTCCCAAACCTTAAAAGATTTTGATGGGGAGGTGAGTTGATTTTTGACACAGGAATCCATGAATGAGGAAGGTCTAAAACAATGGAGGGGGCAGTGAGTGAGGCTTGTGACAGTGGGTTTTGAAGACTGCAGTTTAGCAGCTCATTCAGGAAAACGAAAGTGGGACCTTCACCTTGACGGCCCATCATCAGGGACAATGAAATTAAGATATCTGAACCTGGCTTTGTAGCCCATGTCTTTAATCTCAGTACCTAGAACGCAGAGGCTGGCAGATCTGTGTGAGTTTAAGGACATATATATCATGTTCCAGGCCAGCCAGGGCTACATGGTAAGACCCTATGTTGTTTGTTTGTGTTTTTGAGACAGGGTTTCTCTGTGTAGCCCTGGCTGTCCTGGATCTCGCTCTGTAGACCAGGCTGGCCTTGAACTCAGAGATCCACCTGCCTCTGCCTCCCGAGTGCTGGGATTAAAGGTGTGTGCCACTACTGATGGACATGAGACCATATCTTTAAAAAACAAAATTAGGGGTTGGGGATTTAGCTCAGTGGTAGAGCACTTGCCTAGCAAGCGCAAGGCCCTGGGTTCGGTCCTCAGCTCCGGAAAAAAAAAAAAAAAAGAAAAGAAAAGAAAGATTACCTGGCCAGAGATGGGCTGCTGGGCCAAATGGCTTTACCACCACTTGGCTGAGGGCCGTCTCCAGCTACCTCTGACAGAACTAACTGAAGGCAAGAATAGATTACATAATCTATTATAAGTCTGTTCACAAGTCATTAGCAATTGGATGTTGCACATGTGGACACCTGCCAAGCATGTGTGAGGTCCGGGTTCCACACCTAGCACTAGGGAAGACCTTTAGAAAGCAAAGTCAGCGAGCCAGGAGCCAGGGCAGCGGCGGGGGCTCCGCTTGCTGCAGGGCAGGTACTCAGCACCAGAGCGCAGGGCTGGGGTAGGCAGGGTCTGCTTGGTGCCAACGGCTCTCCCCTGACATTCCAGCTGTGCACTGGGGTGGGGGTGCCTACTGGCCAGCGGTCACTGCCAAGAGATGCCAGTCAGGGCATCCTGGAAGAAGGCAAAAGCAAGAAGTGAGAGCGCTGGAACAAGTCAGGATGTGTGAGGGGCAGGACAGGCAGGGCTCGGTGCGCACGCCTTTAATCCAGCACTCAGAGGCAGAGGCAGGTGGATGTCTGCGTTACAGAGACAGGCAGAAGATTCAAGGTGGAGGATGGGTTCGAGAGGCACCCAAGAAGCTACACTTGCCCTCAGACCAGGAGCACAGTGTAGGACACAGGCTTCCTGACAGGGGCTACAAGAGATGGTGGGGGGTGGCGCACACCTTTAATCCCAGCACTCAGGAGGCAGAGGCAGGCGGGTCTCCGAGCTGGAGGCCAGCCTGGGCTACAGAGTGAGTTCCAGGACAGCCTGGGCTACACAGAGAGAACCCCCCCACACACACACAAAGAAAGCAGGGCACAGAGAAGACAGTGTAGTTAGGAGGGCGGGACCACAGGGGCAGAGCAGAAACCCGGAAGAGGGTGTGGCACTGCACCGCACCTCGATGAAGGGCCTGGGCCACCTGCCCAGCTTCTGGGACGACACATCCAGTGTGGGCCGGGCTCGGACACGGTGGCACGTACTTGAATCCCAGCACTTAGTGGGTGAGGCAGGACCATCACAAGCCCTTAGCCAACTGGCCTGCTTGCTAGAATTCTACCTCAAAAACAAGTTTGCAGGGCTGAGAGGTGGCCCGGTGGTTAAAGGCCAGGGGTGCTCTTGCAGGGGACTAAGTCCAGCACCCACACTAGGCAGTTCACAACCACCTGTCACTCCAGCTCCAGGGAACCCAGTGCCTCTCACCTGCACAGCCACTGTGCAACACACACACACGAGGAGACGCCTTACGTTCGTAAACGGCTCGCCTTGCAAGCAGGATGACTTTAGTTTAATTCCCAAACCCACAGAAAAAACAAGAAGCAGCCGGGTGCAGGAGCTGTGCCTGTGACACACTGGCCAGGTACAAGCGGGGAGTGTGGAGCTCACTGGCCAGCCCATCTAGAAACCAGTCAACCTCAGGTTCAGTGAGAGACTGTCTCCAAAACTTGAGGTAGAGAAACGGCGGCAGACCTCCGATGTGGACCTCGGGCCCCACCGGCAAGCACACCCGTCACCGTGGAAGGCTCGGACCCCACTTCTGCCCGACAGTCATCTCTTTGGGAGGGGGGGGTGTCTCCTCCTGAAAGTAGGCAGTCCAGGGGAAAACCCAACCAGGGCAGTGGTTAATCCTGGTGGACAGAGTGGGCGAGAGCTCATGGGACCAGCAGGGAAGCCCATCTGCTATTTGGAGGCTGTTATGGGGGAACCCCCCCCCCCAAATTCCCTAGGACAGGGACAGCAAGGCTAGGGTCTCTTTTCAGGCCAAGTGTTGAGGTCTGAAAAGTGAACTGGGCCGGACAACCCCAAATCATTTCTAGAAGGGCAAGGAACCCTTCAGCCAAGGCACCCCAGGCGCTCTCCCCAACACGTCTACCCATCACCGTTGCTCACCTGGTGACCTGCACACATGGTCTCTGTGCCCTGAAATGGAGCCAGGGTCACAGCCCCCACCCTGAACCTTCTTGGCTTCCAGTGGCAGTTGATATTCAAAGCCTCTGTGTGACTCCAAGGCCCTCAGGTTGGTATCTCAAACAGTGAGGGTAACTGTGAGGCCCGGCTTGCCTGGAATGCGGTTTCCCTGGCAACTCGACTTCTGCTGCACCTGCAAGCTCCCAGCAGACCCTAGGGCCCACCCCAGTCATTCCCCTGCCTCCAGCCTGCCACCCTGGCCTCAGCCCCCTGTCACCTGCTGACCTGAGAAAGCGCCTCTCCTCGGGCGCCTCTCCCGGGCCCTTGTCGGTGCATGCACTGCTGCTCATGGCCGCAAAGGCAAGCAAAGGCAAGCTGGCTCCACGCTGCCTTTTAAGCAAGTCCGGTGGGCGGAGCCCTGTGACTGAGCGCCTGATTAGCAGGCCCTGGGAGGCGCTGCGTGCAGCTATTGGCCAAAGCACAGGGTGACTTAACCCTGAGGTGTCCGGGCAGCAGACAGGTGTAAGGGATCAGAGACATGCTGGCGTTTATTTGGTGATTCTTTATTGTGGGCGTGGGCTCGGGCCCTACATGTACCAGGAGAAGCCGAACCTGGCGTTGTCCAGCTCCTCCTTGGTGCGCAGCGCGTACAACTCTTCGAGGAGGGGCGGCACCCAGCGCGTGGTGTGGAACACAGACTCGCCCACCTGCGGGCAGGGCGGGGTCAGTCCATCAGTCCATCAGTCCGGCGGACCACCCCACCCCACCCCACCCCGGGCTCACCTTCCAGTCAGGCACGTCTTTCATGATGACGGCCTCCTCCTCCAGGTTCTCCCGAAGAATCTGCAGGGTCCTGTGGCCACAGGGCGGGGCTGAGATCAGACCCGCCCAGGGTGACCACTGTCCCTTCCTTGACCGTGAGGCCCTCCCATCCTGGCCTACCTCCTGTCCATCTCTGCCTGGAAGAGCGGCATGAGGGCGATCCGGGCCTCCAAGTCTTCGATCTGTAGGCGCCTGTGAAACCGTGACACCCACTCGGGGTCAAATGGGGCCACTGAGGGAGTGTGGAACAGATATGACAGGACCACAGGACGCTGGTGGGGAGGGACAGGGTAGGGGCAAGGCTGGCCACCTGAGTTGGGACAGGAAGGCAAGTCTGCAGCTGGCATAGACTGACTTCAGCCACAAAAGTGTTGGCTTCACATTTTCCTTTCAAATAAACTTTTTTTTTTTTTATCCTAAAAATAGCCCTGTCTGATGATCTGGGTGGAGAGGGGGGCACACTCATCACCACCAGGCTCTGGGCCTCACAAAACCAATTTCCCTTTGTTCTCAAAATAGCAGGGCATTGGGCATGCAGGTCTTCCCGCAGCTATTACCCCCACAGGGAGTCGGGAACTTCTCCACTTCAGGGGCCAGGGAAACAACCCAGTGATGTGGTCTAGAAGAGCCTCTGGTGGGGCTCTTTCCAGAGACACCCTCATCTGACACTCATGGTCCTCGTCTTTCTGGCTTTCAGGGGACATACCTCCCATGGTCTGGGTCCTTTTTGTTGAGGTCTCACTGTGTGGCCCTGGCTCGTCTGCAGCTCCTAGAGATCCACCTGCCTCTACACCCCAGTGACCTCTATGACCACACACAGTGCCAGCTAGGAGACCCCAAGTTCCAGGTGTCCTACTGTTTATGCTATCCTGGACCAGGAACAACTCAAGGCCGATCTCCAGCTCTTCCCTTTAGGACAGGAAGTGAGGAGTAGGATCCACACTTCCTGGCCCCGACAACTAGCCAGTCAAGATCACCATCACCCTCACAGAACCCCGGTAGTGAGCAGGGCCCTACCTGCGCTCCCGGTTCCACCTCATTATTCTCCAGTAGCCAAAGAGCAAGGCCCCGATGCCCACCGCGAACATGCTGTAGCCTGCAAGAGAAGTGGGGCCACCTTCTCAGCGCCCAGGGTCTCTGGGAAGTGGTGTCTGTCTACTGACTCTCCTCCACACCTCCACAAGGGGCCTGTCCTCCCCCAGCCACTTCCCCAGGACAGCCTCCAGCTCTCCTGCTGTGCCAGGCAGTCTGGACTGGCACACTTTCTGGGAGGTACAGGCCAGCAGGGACACAGGAGAGCCCCAGGGTCTAGAACAGTGCTTCTCAACATGTGGGCCGTGACCCCTTTGGGGTCCAAACAACCTTTCACAGGCGTCACATATCACATGCCCTGCAATCAGATATTTACATTATACTTTGCAACAGTGGCAAAATTAGTTATGAAGTAGCAATAAAAATAATTTTATAAGCCGGGCGTGGTGGCGCACGCCTTTAATCCCAGCACTCGGGAGGCAGAGGCAGGCGGATCTTTGTGAGTTCGAGGCCAGCCTGGGCTACCAAGTGAGCTCCAGGA